GTTTGACTTTCAAAATAGGTCGTTTTAGACGTCAGGGTCAACTAGCTCCATAACTAACGTCTTAACAGACATCCACAAAAAATTTAGGCAAAAAAGATATCGAAATTCTGGATGACAAAAAAAAATCATGTATTATAGCACACAAAAATCGATAAAATAAGGGGGTTACCTGCTGCGGAGATCATTTGATATTCAAAATGGGCAGTTTTTGCCGTTGGGGCCAACTGGTTCCGTAGATAACGTCTTAACGGACCTCCACAAAAAATTTGGGCAAAAATGACATTGAAATTTCGAATCACCAAAAACCTGTGGACTATTATACACGAAAATTGACAAAATAGGATTTACCTAATTTGGGGCTCATTTGACCTTGATAATGCACCATTTTGACCATCAGGGTCAACTGGCTCGATAACTAACATCTAAACAGACGTCCACAAAAATTTGGGCAAAAAAGACGTCGTAATTCTAGATCACCAAAATCCATGGATTATATATACCATACAAAAATTGGCAAAATGTAGGATTTACCTGCTCCGGGGCTTATTTGAACTTAAATGGATCATTTTGGCTGTCATGACCAACTGGCTTCATAACTAACGTCTTAACAAATGTCCACAAAAATTTGGGCAAAAAAGACATCAAAATTCTTAATCACCAAAAAAATTGTGGACGAAGCACACGAAAATTGGTAAAACAGGGGTCTAACTACTATAAAACTCGTTTGACCTTCAAAATAGATCATTTTGGCCATCAGGGTCAAATGGCCCATAGATAATGTCTTGACTGACGTTCACGAAAAATATGAGCAAAAATAACGTCAGAATTTTGGATCACCAAAAATATATAGACTATAGTACAAGAAAATTGGTAAGACGGAGTTTACCTATTTCGGGGCTCGTTTGACATTGAAAATGGGATGTTTTAGCCGTCAGGGAAAACTATCTTCATAGCTAACATCGTAAAGGACGTCCACAAAAAATTTGGGGAAAAAAAGTCAGAATTCTGGATCACTAAAAAAGATCATGGACTATAGTACACAAAAATCGATAAAATTAGGGGTTTACTTGCTTTGAAGCTCGTTTGCCATTCAAAATGGGTTGTTTTGGCCGTCAGGACCACCTGGCTCAATAGATAACGTCTTAATAGACATTCACAAAAAATTTCGGCAAAATAGATGTCACAATTCTGAATCATAAAAAATACATGAAATATACAGTACATGAAAATCAGTAAAAATGGAATTTACCTGCTTCGCGGCTCGTTTGACCTTTAAAATGAGTTGTTTTTACTGTCAAAGCAATTGGATCAATAGCTAACGTCTTAACGGACGTCCATGAAATGTTTTGGCAAAAAAATACCGAAATTCTGAATCACCAAAAATTCATTGACTGTAACACACAAAAATCGATAAAATTGAGGGTTAACCTGCTTCGGGGCTCGTTTGACATCTAAAATGAGCCATTTTGGCTGTTAGATCCAACTGGATCCATAACTAATGTCTTAACAGACGTCTACGAAAAAATTGAGCAAAAAGAACGCCAGAATTCTAGATCACCAAAAAACCATGGACTATAATGCATAGTATAATAAAGAGTTTACATGCTCTAGGACTCGTTTGATCATCATTATGGGTAATTTTGACTGTCAGAACCAACTGGATCCATAACTAACGTCTTAGCGGATGTCCAAAAAAATTGGGCAAAAAAGACGTCTAAACTCTAAATCACCAAAAATGATTGTTGACTTTGAACACGAAAATCGATAAATAATGATTTACCTTAAATGAGGCTTGTTTGACCTTCTAAATGGGTCGTTTTAGCCATCAAGACTAACTGGATCAATAGACAATGTCTTAACGGACGTCAACGAAAAATTTGGACAAAAATGATGTCAAAATTCTAGATAACCAAAATTTGACGAACTTTAGTACACAAAAATCAGGAAAATGGGGTTTACTTATTTTGGACCTTGTTTGACCTTGAAAATAGGCCATTCTGGTTGTCGGGGTCAACTGACTACATGGTTAACGTCTTAACAGACGTTCACGAAATATTTGGGCAAAAAAACGTCAGAATGCTGGATCACCAAAAATCCATATACTATATCACATGAAAATTGACAAAATGAGGGGGTTTATCTGCTCCTAGGTTCGTTGACCTTTCAAAATAGGTTGTGTGGCCATCAGGGCCTACTGCTCTATAAATAACGTCTTAATGGACGTCTCCAAAAATTTGGACAAAAAAGACGTCAGAATTTTGATCACCAAAAAAGATCGTGGACTATAGCACAAGAAAATCAACAAATTGATGGGCTTACCTGCTCCGGGCTCGTTTGACCTTCAAAATGGGTCGTCTCGCCCGCCTGGGCCAACTAGCTCCATAAATAACGTCTTAACGGACGTCTACAAAAAATTTGGATAAAAATAATATTGAATTCGGGATCACCAAAAATTCATAGACTAGTACATGAAAATTGGCAAAATAGGGTTTACCTACTTCGGGCTCGTTTGACCTCGAAAATGGATTGTATTGGCTGTGAGGGATAACTGGCTCCATAACTAACGTCTTAATGACCGTCTATAAAAAAGTTGGCGACGTCGAAATTCTGGATCACCAAAAATTGATAGATCATAGCACACTAAAATTAAAAAAAATGGGGAATTTACGTGCTACGAGACTCGTTTGACCTTCAAAATGGATCGTTTTGGCTGTCAGGACCAACTAGATCTATAGATACGTCTTAACTGACGTTAAAAAAATTGGATAAATAAGACGTCAGAATTCTTGATCTCAAAAAAAATATTATGGACTATAGCACATGAAAATCGGCAAAATAAGAGATTTTCCTGCTCTGTGCTCGTTTGAGCTTCAAATAGATTTGTTTTGTCCATCAGGGCCAGCTGGCTCCATATATAACGTTATAACAGATGTCTACGAATAATTTAGGCAAAAATGGTGTCGGAGTGGATCACCAAAAATTCATATAGTAATAGGGGGATTTACCTGCTCAAGGGCTCGTTTGACTTCAAAATGGATGGTGTGTCCGTTTTGGACAAATAAGTCAATAGCTAACGTCTTAACGGATGTCCATAAAAAATTTGAACAAGAAAGACGTTGGAATTCTAGATCACCAAAAAAGACCGTGGGCTATAAAACACGAAAATCGGTAAAATGAAGGGTTTACCTACTCCGGGGCTCATTTGACCTTTTGAATGAGCCATTTTGGCTGTCAGGGTCAACTGGCTCCATCGATAACGTCTTAACAGACATCCACAAAAAAATTGGACAAAAATGATGTCGAAAATCTAAATCACCAAAAATTCATGCACTGTAGTATATGAAAATCGGCAAGATGGGGTTTACCAGCTTCGGGGCTTGTTTGACAGTGAAAATTGGTCGTTTTGATCGTTAGAGCCAACTGGATACATAGGTAACGTCTTAACGGACGACCACGAAAAATTTGGGCAAAAAAGTTATCGAAAATCTGGATCACCAAAAATCTATGGACTATAGCACACGAAAATCAATAAAATGGTGGATTTTCCTATTTTGTGGCTCGTTTGACCTTCAAAATGAGTCATTTTGATCGTGAGGGCCAACTGGATCCATAGCTAACGTCATAATGGACGTCCACGAAAAATTGAGCAAAAAAGACGTCGAAATTATGAATCACTAAAAAAGATCATGGACTATAAGACACGAAAATCGGCAAAATGAAGGGTTTACCTGCTTTGGGGCTCGTTTGACCTTCATAATGGATCATTTTGGCCGTCAGGGCTAACTGACTTCATAGATAACGTCTTAATGGACGTCCATAAAAAATTTGGACAAAAGATATTGGCGATAGATCAACGATGTGATTTTCAATTAATGAGATTCTCAACATTTCTGACCTAATTCATTATTGATGAAATTCAGCTCCCGGCCACGACAGAATGTGAATAAATATTTTCCTTTTAGATAAATCATCCAAACCTACATGATTTGAGGGGATAACAACACTTTTGATCGCGAAGTAATTGATAAATTCTCCTTTAAGTCCTTGTGATATATCGATGTATTTATTCTTTAATCAATTTAAATGAATGTTATTAATCCCTGTATGTAGAAAATAATGTAATATTTGACTATATATACGCACTATATTGTCGTTAAATATGACATAATGCATGGATAATTAAGTAGTTCCACAATTAATAATTATAGTATATTTGTGAATATTCACAAATAATGGATTTAAAGTGCACAATTCAGTATTCACATTGAAGGTTAAAATGTCGTTAGTGACATACTTTAGGGACTAAAAATCAAAATTTAGTAACAACCGAGGGATAAAAATACTGTTAATCCTAATGTGAGAGGTAAAAATTGTACTCTATGTGAAATATATCTTATTTTTTCATGTGTAAAATGGAACTATTTGACCATCTTGTAAAACGTTACGATATACCTTAACAAAATTACTTTTGAAAATTCAATGATCATTAGTAAATTCTTTTTATCTTTTTTACCTTTTTGGGGTTTCTCTTTTATTTTATAATATGCCTCTAGTTTTAGTTGTTTTTGGCAACTAAAAGAATAATCTTCAAAACCATAAAAATAAAAGAGAAATTTTTTTTGCTATATTATTGTAAAATATAGTGGAGATTAGAGAATGCAGATAGCATGAGAAATGTTCTTACAAGTGTACAATTTGAATAACTGATTTGGAGCTAACAAGGATGATGAGGGGAATGCATACATCACCGTGGAATATTTCTAGCTAAGATCGCGCTTTTTTAATTTCTAACTTTGACATTCTTCCTGAAAGATGGTTATAATTGTCGATGTATTAATTTTATTTTATTCGTATAGTAATATTTCACGGTTATTATAAGAAAAAGGTTTAATTTACATTTCAATTATAGGTGCAATCAATTTGTTATTAATATATGACATAGAGAAATAATAGAACAATATTGATCAATCAATCTATTAGCCATTGAAGAAAATGTAATGTTATGGAAACTACTTCACTAGTTACTTTAATATTAGTTGTGAATCTGAACATGATAGAATATACGAACACCAAGCACTAGCCTTACAAGGTCGGATTTGTGGGGATAAGTTTGTGAAGAAGCAAAAACTTATCCTCACCCTGACCAGAAGCGGCTAGGTTTCCTCATCTTTTAAACTTCCCCCGATCTTCGACCCGAACTGTTATCATGATTCATCACAATGTCTTGTTCCTTTCTAGTTAATTAGCTAGGTTATATAGCAAGTAGCAAATAACATTTTTCAACTCTTCAAGGTATCAATTCCTGATTTTGTCATCTTTTTTTTTTTTTACTACTATACAAACCAAAATACATACACGTATTTCATTCAAATTTGTAGCTTACAACTTCTTTTTTTCCTTTTCAATTTTACTCATTACTGCTTCATTACAATGGACTCAAAAATTCACTGTAGATTTTCTTCTGCTAAGGTAACGAGCATGCCTCGAAGAACTCTTTTTATGATCATCATAAAGTCCAGTTGCAACATTTGGATCTTTTTCTTCCTTGACTTGATAATTTAGCAGTGTATCAAGACCATCATCTATCTTGGAGTTTGGTGAGTAGTTTTTGCTGGTTGCTATCTCTGAGTAATTTAAGCTCAGCTCGGTTACTTCTGACAACGATTTCGTTAGCAGAGGCTTCTGGCGTTTCAAGAACAAACATACAACAGCACAATCATCTACCTTGGCACACGGGTACTTGTATTTCCAGGCTCGAACTGCATGATGCACCACGAGTCTTGCTGCAATAGATCGTTTCCTTGCTGAAGCTACTATCCGGATCACTTCATTGTTGCTTAAAACATCCCACAACTATACACCAAAAACAAGACAATGTGCATTAGCTGCCTTATTAAATCTTTTTACTCGAATTATATGCATTATGCAAAAAAAAAAAATGTTATGTTTTAAATATTAGACTATGACTACTATGAACTCATTTACTCTAAATTATAAATCTACCTCTAGTCCTCTATTGTTGGCAAAATGTGTAATCCGAAGCTTCCTCGTGAGACGTTGATGTCAATTCCATTTTGTCATTTGAAGGAGCAATTTAGTGATACTACTATAACTACAACCTCACACAATATGGGGTCGGCTATATGAATCATCACTGACCATTTGGCTCCATTTAAGCTCATCTTAGAACAAACAATGTGGAAATACTACTATAACTACAATCTTCAGCAAGGTGGAATCGGCATTATGAATCATCACTAACCATACCTCTCCATTTAAACTCATCTTAGACGTAGTAACGATCTAATGAACTAAGCTACACAAAGACATGTTACCCTCACAAATTTAGAAACGTCACATAGCAAGATTGTGTGGTCTTTTCTGCAAGTTCTAGCCAAAAATACTAGGATTTCAGGGGAATATTCAAGAAGTTTGAATTCTGGTATAGCTTACCCCGTCTGATGCCAAGACAATGAATTCATCCTTTTCAGTGAGCTTTCTGTAATATACTTCAGGTACCGAAATGAGACCAAAGTCTTTCAAACAAAAATCTCCGAAAGCTCTAGCCATGGCAAGACCAGGGCAATCTTGATCAGGCATCCATACTCTGTATATATTTGGTTCTTCCTCCATCGCCATTACTCTTCCTTCACAACTCTTGATTCTTTCATATTCAGCTGATGAAATGATTGCACAAATAGATTAACAAAACGAAACCAATCTTATTAACATAACTTTTGTAAACGGTTCACAACGTAAAGATATATTACACCATCAAGGATGACTGGTAACAACAGCTAACCAGGGGCAAATCTAGACTTATACAATACAGGTTCGACAGCACTCAGTAGCTTTGGTCCGAATTCTATATATGTAATAAGATATTTACTAATATGTACGAAAACTATATTGAGAACCGAGTTACTAACTCTTAGGTTATTGTCCTAGAATACAGAACCCATAAAGTCCGAATCATAGATCCTCCTCTACAACTAACTATCTATAGCAATTAAAATTTGGTAAAAAAATCTGCTATAACCAATTAGAATACATTGAGAATGTAAAAAAGCACCAACCTGGGAGGTTAGGTTTCAAGTCTACCGTGAGTTGCTTAGCAACAAGCTCATTTTTGTCATCCCTGGTGCAAATAATAGCTCGAGAATCTCCTAAATTTCCAACTATCAAATGTTCTCCCTGAAAATTCCGCAAATCTAGCCACCTTAGATTATAAACAAGAATATCAAAGAAACCATCGTTTCGTTTAACATATTAAAGTTCTTTCAAGTATGTTTTCTTTTACCTGTTTAACTAAAGTCACTGCAGTTGTTCCACTGCAATAACTTTCGATAGAACCATCACCTTCAAGTTCTTCATCCATTTCTTTAAAAGACATGATAAATTTATCTTTCCAAGCATCAAAGACTGGGTTGTTAGATTCATCATCCTTTTCAGCATCCCATCTATTGGCACTGATCACATTGGATGATGAAAGTTTAGAAGGTAACGTGTCTCTAACATAACGTGCCACCTTGTGGCCGGATGGTCCGTGTCCATCAAATACACCACAAAAGATCATACCTTTCTGTCCACCAAAATTCTGTAACAATAATATATAGCGTGTTACAATAGTATCAATCCCCTGCCTCCATTTTCACACAATAAACCGTAACTTATGCTCTACGTAGCGAATTTTCAGTGTCCACTTAGAACATACAACATAAAACTACAACCCATAAGCAAGTTAAATGTCATAAGGATTTCAAGATGAATGATACCAGGGGCGGAGTTAAGGGGATTCAATAACTACTAAAACGTCAGAGCTCAGAGTCGAGCCCATGACCTAAAGTACTTTTCGGACCCCCTTTGCCACTACCATAAAAACCTTGCCTAGTATCAACTTTATTCAACTACCAATGTAAAATATAATTTGATAAAAGATTCAATCGACCACCCTTAGGCCAATGTATTGAATTGACTTTCTATATGAAATGAATTTAGGGATTATTCATCAAGCTACACTAAAGATTAATTGTCAGTACATAATATCAATAACAATATGCATCATACTATACTACTTTTCATCATAAAAATGATTTAATTTGCATCTATTAGGGTTACATTTGTTGAATTGAATATAGAATGATGGAGAAAAGGGTCTAAGAGATGTTAACCCCTTAGGGTGCGGTCCTTTCCTAGACCCTGTATGAACACGAGATGCTTCGTCCACCAGGTTGGCTTTAAGGGGCACCGTAATAATTTAATGTAAAGTAATGAGAAAGAAAGATTACCTCCCAAACAGTCATGGCATCTTGATTGATCCCTTTTTTACCTTGTTGACTATACATTGATACAAATTTAGAAAATCCACATAACCTTATATTAGCACCCAAATCTCCTCTTCCTACTATGCTTTGATAATCATCATCACCTTCTTTATGCTCCCCATTATTATTATTTTTCTCCTCAAAATAACTATGATGATTTTTATGATGATTCTTGCCTTCTAATTTGTGTCCCCTTTGACATGTACAACATGCACCCATCTCTTGACTTTAAATATATATAGAGAGAGCCTTGCAATTAGATCTTGTACTCTTGAGATTTGGAGATCAAATCCATAATTACATGTAATTATTAATCTTCCAAAGAAAAACTAATTTAGTAACTTAATTATGTTCCTCTTCTTAATTATAATGTGAGAGAATTTAGATATGGAGTATGTCTGATTCCTTATAAGGAAATCAGAAAAAAAGAAGAGGAAGAAGGTGATGAGCAAATCATGAATGTTGTCTCATGAGATAACATTCATGATTTGTGGGAAAAAAAACATGTACTAGTAATTAGTATTAGAGAGAATACAATAAATAAATTAGGTTTAAAAATAAACCTCATCTAATTAACCCATGCTAAGGTCTTGACTCTTTTTTTTTTTGGTTACACCATGCTATCCTTTGATTTTCTTCTATATAATATATAAATAATTATGTGCAAAGACATATCTAAGGACAATAAGTAAATAGATACATGATAATACGTAGAAATTCATAGAAAATTCAATATTTATTTTTTTTTTCTTATTATAACCCTTATATATATATATATATATATGAGAGAGAGTACCTTTTCAATCTATGTCAAACCCTTTTTCCATCTTGTAATTATACACAAGAAGCATTCCTCCATTTTCCGGTTCATTCAAATAAGTTGTGAGATCTTTTTTTTTTAGAAGATCGGAAAACAAAAACATAGATTTTTTTTGTAGAATTATTGTTTTAATTATACTTTCTTTGTTTTAATTTTTATTTTTGCATTTTTTAAGAAAAAAAATTCTCTCTCTTCTTTTTTTTTTTAAAAAAAAACAATACATTAGTTCCAACATTTTCACATGACAATTTAAGATCACAAAATTAAATAATATTTTGATATATTTTATCTATTTTTAATTCCAAACACATATCGAGATTTTAAAATCTTTTTTTTTTTACTTTCTTGATTATACTTTATGAGTACATGATTTCAAGGCCACCGTTAAGTCATATTCATAAACTTTTAACGTGTAGAAATTTATAATTCTAAGCTTTAAAATAACTTTAGATATGTGGTGTGAAGTTTCATATATAACTGAAGTTAAGCGATATATTATGAACTTTGATCATATATTTCAATATATTTTGCAATTTTAGGCTGACATTGATTTTTTTTTTTGGGAAAATTATATGAAATGGCAAACATTTATAACTAATTATATCATAGGGGTATAGTTTAATTTATTTACATTAAATAATTATAGTTTTTTTTTGCTATAATTAATGGGGCCCACAACCTATTATGTAACCAATTGTATAAAAACCTTATTTTCTGATTTTGTATATAATTATACACAAAACAATTTTCTCTCTCCTTTTTACAATTAATTTTCTCTCTCCTTTTCATATTCTAACGTCTTCTCCTACATTTCATACTCCAGCTATCCGATTTGAATTTCGAATTTTTGTCCAAAATTTCAGTAATCTCTCCCGAAGTTGAAGTCCCCTCCCCAAGTTGAAGTCAATTTTGTAAGTACTCCTTAATTTTAGTTGTTTACCTCTTCTTCTTTTTTCTAACTTATTTAAAAATTGTATATGTGTTCTGTTTATTATTTTTTTCATATATTTTGATGAAATAATCGATTTTTTGTTCTTGATAGATCTAAAATTGTTCAAACAATGAACGAATCATCTACATCTTTGAGGATTACCAGAGGTAGTCTTTCGCATGTCAATGTCGTTGACATTTTACCATCCTTTTCAATGGGGCTAACTCAAGAATTTGGGGTTAATGTAGGGTCTTTGGGAAAAATTAAAAGAAGTTATACAAGAACAAACCATGGAAGAGTTGAGATCAAAGAAAAAAAACGACCCTATGGCAGTTCAACAAGTTATTAAAAATGTCAAAGCTAGAGGCATTAAAATTGTACAAGGAACAAGAAAGAGGAAAGCTGTGAACATTGAATCAGAGGAAAATGCTTCTGAAGTTGTCGGATCTGATGAACTTCATAATCATGAGGTAGTGTCTTAAAACACAAAGTTAGATACAATTTTTTGGTTAATTAGTTGTCAATATACAAAAATTATTAAATTAAGTATTGTATATAGTATATTCCATGTTTAGTAATTGTATATGGTATATTGCATGTTTATGTTATTTTTGGTTTTTGTATATATATACAAAATAGTAATTGGACTTAGTTATATAAAACAAAACTGTACATGTCTGTTTTAATAGCTGGTAGTAGGGGATTGTATATGAAAGACTCATTATTATTTTTTATATAAATATATACACAAAGTAATTGGATTTAGTTATATATAGATGGGAAAATATCATATGTGATTATAATTTTGTATATTGTAGTAGTTATATACAAATTATTGAATATAATGTCATGTTTAACTAATATATTCATGTACACTTATTGTAGTTGCATTAAGTTATATAGATGGGAAAATATTATATGTGATTATAAATTGTATATTGTATTAGTTATATATAAATTATTGAATATAATGACATGTTTATCTAATATATTCATGTACACATATTAATATAACTTATTTTTATTTTTTTGTATATATATACAAAAAAGTAATTGGACTTAGTTATACAGATGGAAAATTTGAATATATGATTAGAATTTGTATATTATATTAGTTATATACAATTATTGAAGTTAGTATATATTAAGTTTATATACATATACAAAAAATGATATGTACATGTCTGTTTTAATAGCTGGTAGTAGGGGATTGTATATTAAAGGCTCATTATTTTTTTTATATAAATATATACACAAAGTAATTGGATTTAGTTATATAGATGGGAAAATATCATATGTGATTATAATTTGTATATTGTAGTAATTATATACAAATTATTGAATATAATGTCATGTTTACCTAATATATTAATGTACACATATCAATATACAAAAAAGGTAAGTTCATATATATAAACAGAAATTAATCTGTGCATGACTTATTTTTTGATTTTTTTTGTATATATAGGTAAGTATATATATACAGAAATTAATTTGTACATGACTTATATTGATTTTTTTTGTATATATATACTATGTTTATTTCATACACTTTTTTTATTTTTTAGAAAGTCAGATATATTTGCAAGAACCGTGAAAAAGGACAATTCACATGCAATGTTATACGCAAATCAACACATTGAATGAGCTTCAGAATAAACTGCCTCCAAATCAATATAATCGTATATGTGCATCATCGTGTTTTGCACAGTTAACAGCAATGAGACGATGTCACGTGCAAGCACAATTGTTTAGATGCATTATGTTGAGGGAGTTGGAAGGCAGTTCTGTGAATGCAATACTTTTTTTTATATAAATGGCACAACGCTTCGATTCACAATACGGGAATTTGCCATTATTTCTGGTTTGAATTGTTCTGATAATGGTGCTAACTTCTACTTTGATACTGATCAATCCAATAGAATCATCGATGAGTATTTTCCAGGGAATTCTCCTGTCACTAAAGCTCGTTTGGCTGAAGCTTTTAAAGCAAAGGTAGAGGGTGATAATTAGGAAGATGCATACAAGCTTGGGATTCTATATTATATACATGAGTTTATCATGTCCGCGAAACCTACTACAACAACAATAGATAGGTTGGACTTTGATCTGGTTGAAACAGGTAGATTTATGGATTATCCGTGGGGTCGGTAGGCTTTTAATGAACTTGCTAAATCCATAAACAACAAGATAAAGCTATGTGGTCAGTACTACAGAATTCAGGGCTTTCCACTTCCAATGCAAGTTTGGTTCTATGAATGTTGCTCGTATGCTGATGACAAGATTGATGTCAAGGTTTCTAGTCACATTCCTCGGATTATCAATTGGGTGACTAAGAACGACCATCCTCGGTTTGATTATTTCATGAAAATAATTTTTAATGATGCAGATAATTCGGTATGCATTTACTTAATACAATTTGAAAATTATTGAAGTTAGTATACATTTACTTACTACAAATTGTATATTACATTTTTATTATATTGATTTATAATTTTTCATTATTATGCAGATTAAGTTCAGAAATATTGAACCAACATCGATGGAAATTAAAATCCTCAAACTTCCACTATCGTCAGAACAATCAATTTCTCAGGGCCTGCAGACTGATCACAATAAAGTTACAGATCCGGATGATGATTTCCAAAACCCGCCCAGTATAACAAGCAGAAAAGGAAAAGAAAAAGTTATTGAATGTTCTTCACCGATTAGGAAAAGAAAAAGCAATCTGTTACAGTCATCTCCATCAACAAATCTTCAACAAATGCAATTAAGACATACACACAAAGATCAATGGCGCGCAAAGCCAAACGATCACAGTCCATCAATATCAACAGTGTTGCGAAACACAGTGATGCAGGTACGTCACACAACAATGAACATGTAGAGCAGAAAAGTGTACAAGACAAAACACAAATGGGGCAAATTAAGAAGTCAACAAGCATTACAATTTCGCGTGATGAATTTGAAGCATTCAAAAATTCGGTAATCAAATATACAATTCAAATATATGTTATTTGAAAAGATTATGTACAATTATTAATAAAATATGCACCTTTTTCACATAGGTCAAGGACGAGTTCGCTGATTTGAGAAAAATGCTTGAAGACAAATTCAAAACATTTATATAGTTTACAAGTCAATATTTTGAGAGTCACACTACCTTATTGAGTTTGACCGAGTAGTTTTATACTGAAATCTCTCTTTAATCGCATATCTTTCCATGACTACTTTCAAAATTGATTTGTCCTTGTATACTTGATCAACCTCAACATGCTTATTAGATTCGTCTGAAATCACCCAAGTTGTATCAATCGATACAAACGCAACATTTGTATCCTCCGGTTCAATAACAATCATATCATGACAATCATTTTCTCCAACAGTTGCCAACACCCCCAACTCTTTACACTGAGAAATCTGTCTATCACATGAATCCAAAATAGTTATACAAATAGGAAATTTGTTAAAATCAGTGTTGGCCTTTTTTAACATTATGTACACTCTGACACCCATGTCATTGTGTATAACCATTCGTTTATTGCTTTCTTCAACTTTGTACTCAATCTTTAAAGTCTTATTATTCATATCAACACCAATCTGTTTGGCAATAGTAGTATAAAAATCAAGAAACGTTGACTGTTCCTTAAAAACTACTCCCTCTATAGTATAATCAACGTAACTATTTGTATCGTCCCATTTTCCAGAATGCATAACCAAGATAGCTAATGAGCCCATTTTCTGTACATTTATGACAAGAATATATATATTTCAAATAATTCAAAGAGATCAT